AAAGTAAGGTGTGTGGTGTGTCCATCTACAAATAGAATCACTGGAAGTACCATATTATTCTCATTAAGATATTTGTAGAAAATATTTCCAATATATTCATAAAAAATGTTCGATTTTATCCACCCATTTTCCGATAATGCTATTAAAGGTGGTGTAGTTCCGCCAGCTGCCGAAAACGTGAATAATACTGTGATATTTGATTTTGCCTGACCTCTATCGACCTCATAGACGTTCTTCGGCCCTTTTGGTGCAAACACATTTTTTGTTTTCGGGCAAAGTTGAAAGTTGGTTTCATCACTGTTAAAAATTCTTTTCGGGTCTTTAAAAATATCAAACAGCTGTTCATCTCTTAAATAAGCTTCAATTTTTGCAAACCAACCTCGTATATTATTTTCACTAACGTTGGCACTTGCCGATGTTACTGCTTCTGTCTGCCTTTCAGTTAAAGAAGGATTTCGACGCAAAAACCTCTTGTACCACCCGTCTCTTGGGAAATTATTTTTAAAGGGCGTTAGGCGAGGATGCTCGTCAAGAAAATTTTTAACACTTGTTTGAATGTCTTCCTTTCTTTGAGGAAAACCGTTTTTCACGGAATCTGATGCCCATTTGACCAAGAGCTGTTCTTCTGCCGGCGCTAAAATTGGTGGAGGTCCGTGAGATATTTTGGAGAATTTTGCACTTTTCCTGAATTGCAAGGTTGATCTAGGAATATTAGATTTTTTGACCACGGCCTTCTTGCTGCCACCATTTTCAACTTCTTCTAAGGCTATTTTAAGAGTTTCTTCTGAATATTTTTTCTGGCAGGGCTCTGAGTTTACCACCTTCGGCATTATTCTGTAAAACATTGAGTTATTGGCGCATATTACACACAATGATTGGCACCGGGCCAACAACTGTCTAGGCCACTAAAAAACTTTTTTTCCAGTCATTCATTGTTTAAAATTTTACCTTGATGGCTTTCAACAAGATTGCGCTTTTTAATAAAAAATATAACCAAAACCCAGTCATTGGCCCCATGGGCCAATCACTATTTTTTTCTATTTT